AAAAAAAAAAAAAAAAAAAAAAGATAGAAAAGAAATTTTTTAAAGAAAGGGAATTAGTACAGTTTTTTTAGCTATCATATATATATTGTCCCTTTTCTCCTTTCCTTCATCCCAGTTCTTTCCTTTTGAGGGTATCTTTCACTTTCACAATATCTGTTGTACCTTTTGGATTTTATTTACTCTTCCGGTTTCTTACACTAAGGAGGCAATATGATGTTTATACATGTAAGTCTGTTTTGTTTCACTTATGAGTATGGTCCCTAGTTGTATTCATTTACCTATAGAAGACTCAAGTTTATCTTTTTTATAGCTGAGTAATACTTCATTGAATAAAAATACCACTTTTTTTTTTTTTTTAGAACTGGGGTTTGAACTGAGGCTCTTGCACTTGCCAGGGAAGTCCTTATTCCACTGAGTCGTCTCCCCAGCCCCAAGATACCACATCTTTATCTATTCCTCAGTTGATGGGCATTTGTGTTGTTTCCAAGATTTTACCTATTACAAATTGTGCTGCTATAAACATAAGTGTACACATATTGATGTGGTATGATGTGTTTTGTTCTTTTGGAAAATACCCAGAAAGGGAATAACTGGATCAAATGAGACCTCTAAGCTTTTTTTTTTTTTAAGGAATCTCCACACTGGCTTGCATTATACCAATCTACATTCCCTCCAACAGTAGAGAAGGGTTCCTTCTTCCCCACATCCTTGCCAGCATTTGTTATTGGCTCCTTTCTTGGTGTTAGCTGTTTTTTCTGGAGTGAGATGGAATCTCAATGTTGTTTTAATTTGAATTTCTTGAATGACCAGTGATGTTGAATATTTTTCATATATTTATTTGCCGTTTGTATTGCTTCATTTGAGAAATGTGTATTCATCTCAGATGCCCACTTTAGGACTGGATCTTTGCATTTTGGGGGTCTGATTTTTTAAAAATTCTTTATATGTTCTAGATAGAAGTCCTTTGTCTAAGGGAAAGTTGGCTACAATTTCTTCTCAATTCATGGGTTTTCTTCTTGCTCTGTTAGTGATTTCTTTTGATATCCAAAGCCTGTCAATAAGATGCGATCCCAGTTGTTGATTCTTTTTTATTTATTTATTTTTAATTTTCAGTACTGGAGATTGAACTCAAGACTCTGTGCTTGCCAGGCAAGAGCTCATTTACTGAGCTATCTCCCTGGCCCAACAGTTGTTGATTCTTTGAAGTATTTCCTGTGCAGTTTGGTTTTTGTTTATGAACTCTCAGCATACCCATATCTTAGAAATCTTCAAGATTTCTATCTACTTTCTCTTCCAGTAGTTTGAGTGTTTCTGTTTTAATATTTAGATATTTTATCCATTTTGACTTTAATTTAGTGCATGGTGATAGACATGGGTCTAGTTTTAGTCTTCAGCATGTGAAAGCCAGTTTTTCCAGCATCATTTATTTTTCTCATTAATTTTATTGAGAAACAAATAGCAATGAAACAGTTTCAAAACCGATTAATAGGACAGTTTCAATAATTAATGCATTGCATATTATCTTTATAGTGGTTATTCCTAGTACAGGATGCAGATATGATATCCTGTCCAAACACTATTAGTACAGATTTTCTTCTCATTGAATTAAGAGAAAGTAGCCATATATCTATCCTAACTATATTGAATATACAGATTCAAAATGGTCCTTCATTTCTATCTCCTTTTTTGTTTAGTTTTGTCAGAGAAGGGTATTCCATTGCCATTTAAATATTGTAGGTGTGTGAATTCAGCAAAATATTCCAATATAGTCCAGTAGTCAATAAT